TATGTTTGAATACTAATCCAAGAAGGTACCGGGAAAATATAGTTGGTCTACAGGCAAAAGTCGGTTCTCAACATGCGACTTTGAATAAGGAGATTTGTTGACGATGAAAAAAACTACTTGGAAAATTTGATTTCCCCATTGGTTAAAAAAGTAGATGGAATTCAACTGGTGTTTCAGTTTAATTGTAATAACAGAAACATGGAGAAACTATGTCGAATGTCTAGGATACCCCCATTTTTACTTTGATTTACCTTGCACTTGGTCAGAATTGAGATTTGTAAATACCCCATGGTTAAAAATATTGAAAATTAAATATTATGGAATAATAGTAATATTAATTTTAATAACCAGGTATTGCATTTCAAGTTATGGGGAAAAGTTGGGATTTTTAAAGTAAAACATATTTTAAGTCAAGGACATTGGAATGATGTGTCAAAAATATAAGTTTCCAAAATTGTTGTTGTCCCCAAATTGTTGTTCCCAAATTATGGGTTAATCAATTACGTAATGGTTTGTATCAAACACATCACTCTAATTTTATACAAATATAAAGTGGTGATGATATTAATATTTGAAATATGAAGGCTAAACAGTTCTACGTATTCTTTGTGCAAAAAAAAACGAGAAGGGTATTTTGTATACATTGTATATCGTCTGAGTAATCACTGGTAATTGGTGCTGGCAAAATAATTGATTTGCAATGAATAAAAACTAGTAGGTACATGTGTGTATTGTTTTTAAAAAAGGGGGAACTCGGAAAGCCTCTAGTTATTTGAAGTATACACACGTATACGCACTCCCAAGCGTCTCTGTCAATAATTGTAATCATGATATCACTTCAACATTGGCAATGCCGTTGTCATTCAGATAAAACTTCGGAGTCTGGCTCATATCTTGTGCCATTCAGAGAAACAACCTTCATCAAGAAGTCTGTTTTTCATATTCTTTTGTAGAAATTGATCAGCGCAGTTGTGTCGTTTTCCTAACTCATAATTTAAAGTGACAGTTGGTGTCAAATTTCATTGTTTTTGACGGATATACTACTCGCATTATCACGTCAACATGCTGCCTTCGATTTTATGGCTAAGAGTTTAATTGGCATATTTTTGTTTGGCAAATGGTTTGTTTGGCATATGATTGGTTTGGCATATATGCTTATTGCAAGGCCGAACTTTACACTGGAGAAACGTAAAATAAATATATCCAAAATAGTTTATGTAAACGTAAATGTCTGAATTGTTGTCGAAATCAATACTCATTACCTATACTTGTTTTCCGAGAGAAAGAGGAGATAAAGAGAGAGGAAAGAGAAAATGATGGGGAGAGGAGAGAGATATGTGAAGAGTTGGCTTGTTCCAAGAACTCTTTCTTCTTCTTTTTTCCATAAATGAACTTTGTATGAAAGTTTTTTACTACATACACCATAACACTGTTAGCTGCTTACCAAACAAATGCATAGAATGATGAAACCCCGGTAAAAACCACATCAATTTATTGATGACCCAATATATTTCTAACGGGGATTTAAAAAATAAAAAAAAAAACTTTTTATTTGTGTGTCAGTGCCTATACAGGGAAAAAAGGTAAAGAATATCCCAAAAGATTCATACCGATCAAATCTGTTTTTTCATCCAAACCTTTTTCAGGAATGCGGATATACTTGGACGCCCTACTTTCAGATATGAATTTTACATAGTTGGGGGGGGGGGGTCTTATGAAAGTGTGTCTTTAGGGTATACTAGTATCACGGCTTCCATGTATGATGTGCCGTTAATAAGGCATTTAGGTAAAATTTGACAATTCAATTTTCTGAACGTCGCTATGCTGAACATATATAATTTTTTATCAAATTCATGACCTAAAAATGTGTAACGTGGTCATGGTGGTTATAGTCATAGATGCGGGAAATGGGTGACTCCAACATATATGGTTGTGTTCTGTATCAAAAGGGAACGAAATATAGACCCGCTTGCGTCAAGTGACTAGAAAACGAGAGCTTGAGATTTTGTCTTTGCCCACTGCTCACCTGTATGACCAGGAAAGCAACCAATATTCTGAGAGAGTGACTCTAACATGACTCAAAAGTTCCCTGGGTGACCAGCATTGAACAAAGACTTGTAAGGGGGCCCTATTACCTCCCTGAATATATAAGATGTGTATAACAGTAAAACAGCAAGATAGAGGGTTAAAGTCTAAGGTTCCGTTGGTTGCTTTTCAACAAGCATAATATTCGCTTTTATATCAACCAGGTAAAATATATTATCAATCCACGAATTTGCAAAACTTGTTGAACCTAAACAACAATTAAAAAATAACAAAGGTGGTAATTATTTCATGTCCTAATTTAGGAGAACAATTTCACAATACAACCATACTGCGGGATTAATAGTGATTGGGTTCTCCTATAAGGTAACATTATTGTCGTTCTTAAATATACGGTTTTAAACCGAATTTTCATGTCGCGTCGCCTAAAATTATCCAATCTTTCGCATTCTTATCTCTTCCCCTTCTCCTCTTTCTCATTCGCATCTCTTCCCCTTCTCCTCTTTCTCATTTTCATCTCTTCCCATTCTCCTCTTTCTCATTCTCATCCCTTCCCCTTCTCCTCTTTCTCATTCTCATCTCTTCCCCTTCTCCTCTTTCTCATTCTCATCTCTTCCCCTTCTCCTCTTTCTCATTCTCATCTCTTCCCCTTCTCCTCTTTCTCATTCTCATCTCTTCCCCCTTCTCCTCTTTCTCATTCTCATCTCTTCCCCTTCTCCTCTTTCTCATTCTCATCTCTTCCCCTTCTCCCTTCTTCCTCTTTCTCATTCTCATCTCTTCCCCTTCTCCTCTTTCTCATTCTCATCTCTTCCCCTTCTCCTCTTTCTCATTCTCATCTCTTCCCCTTCTCCTCTTTCTCATTCTCATCCCTTCCCCTTCTCCTCTTTCTCATTCTCATCCCTTCCCCTTCTCCTCTTTCTCATTCTCATCTCTTCCCCTTCTCCTCTTTCTCATTCTCATCTCTTTCTCATTCTCATCTCTTCCCCTTCTCCTCTTTCTCATTCTCATCTCTTCCCCTTCTCCTCTTTCTCATTCTCATCTCTTCTTTTTCTCCTCTTTCTCATTCTCATCTCTTCTTTTTCTTCTCTTTCTCATTCTCATCTCTTCCCCTTCTCCTCTTTCTCATTTTCATCTCTTCTTTTTCTCCTCTTTCTCATTCTCATCTCTTCCCCTTCTCCTCTTTCTCATTCTCATCTCTTCCCCTTCTCCTCTTTCTCATTCTCATCTCTTCCCCTTCTCCTCTTTCTCATTCTCATCTCTTCCCCTTCTCCTCTTTCTCATTCTCATCTCTTCCCCTTCTCCTCTTTCTCATTCTCATCTCTTCTTTTTCTTCTCTTTCTCATTCTCATCTCTTCCCCTTCTCCTCTTTCTCATTCCCATCTCTTCCCCCTTCTCCGCTTTCTCATTCTCATCTCTTCCCCTTCTCCTCTTTCTCATTTCCATCTCTTCTTTTTCTTCTCTTTCTCCTTCTCTATTCTTCCCTTTCTTCTCTGTCTCATTCTGAATTCGCCCGTTTTTTGTATTGTTTGATTGTGGGTGTGTGCTTATACGTTGGTGATACCTGCTGATAATTAATGGTGGTCTCTCTTTCCCCCTTTTTTTTTTCTTCTTCTAAATATACATATAATTATACGCTTAGTATTTATTTTGCTTTTTAATTTAATATGGTGTTTACCTTGTTAGGGGCCTCATGTACACGCACAAGTTTCTTTTTAGAGGTACTGGCCTATTATTTATTTTGTATTGATGACTTGGAATGATTTTATGATGCCAAATGAACTGAATTGAATTGGAAGTAAATTGATTATATAATAATTATGTTCTTCAATAAGACCGCCATGTAAATTCATTTCCCACAATATGTATTCATTTCCACGAGAGTCAGCAAAGTTGTCTCATTTGTCTCATAACATATTATGTGTAACTATATATCCCTCTACTGAATGTCTAATGCTAACAAGTATAATCATGACAATGGTTAACGTTATCTGCAACTGGGCCCATCATTATCGTCAAGGGCGATGAAGGGACTCTGACCGACATCACGATTCAGCGGTAGGACGTATGCCGTTCATCCCGATTCTATATACAACGGATATCAGATATATGTATGTTTATATCATATTTCTATAATATCTCACAATGCTTGAATCGCGAACCATGAGGTGGACAGTCATAATCATCATCATCATCATCATCATCATCATCATCGTCATCATCATCATCATCATCATCGTCATCATCATCATCATCATCATCATCATCATTATTATCATTATTATCAACATCATCATCATCATTATATTTGTCATCACCATTTTTTCAACGAAGCGAGTAACGTTTTTGATTTATTTTGTTTAATACATGATTCATTCTTTAGCAAATAAATTCCATGAATTAACGGTATTCATTTCCAAAAACTACTAGAAAATTACTTTTCAAAGACAACATACAAACTGGGTTGTATTAATAACAGAGTTTTATTTAGTGAACATTGCATGGTTATAAATTGCACCAAACTAAATATACAATTGTTTATGCTATGGTCACATTACCCAAAAGTAGCCTGCTCGGCGGCCGAGCGGCGAGTTTTTAACCAATTCTGACCGGCGGCTGCCCGGCCACCGAGCGGCGGCCGCCCAGGCACCGCTCGTTTTTAGGGCATCGCTCGGTCGCCGCTGAAGTTTTAGCGCGGAGTTAAAATTTGGGCGGCGCCTGCTCACTTTTCACTCGCCGCCCAAAATACGCTCGGTGCCTGGGCGTTCGCCGCCCGGGCACCGACCTAATCGCTGGGCGATGCCTATATTCCAACAGCGACCGAGCAGGCTACTGATCGGTCGGTCGCTGCTCTGATTTGTGACCATAGCTTAACATATACCCATTTTTCTCCACTTCACTGTAAGTGATATCACCATATAATAATAATAATAATAATATAATAATAATAATAATAATAATTTTGTTAACTAAGGGTAGCAATACCAGTATCAATACTGCTGCTCCCGCGGGCCCTGCAATTATCATTATCCATCAATATTATTTGCCAGGTACCCATTTACACCTGGGTGGAGAGTGGCAAATGTTGGATTAATGCCTTTTTTCAAAGGACGTTGGTGCCGGACTCTCAAGCCTTGGATTGGTTTGGTTTGGTTTCATCATCGTATAAACAAACATAATACATACACGTGAACATAAACAAATAAATTATAATTACTTGAAAATAATACGGATGAATAGCTCTATTCCGAAATCTTCCTAGATGTCCAGATTGAGAGGGTTTTTTTCGTCATAATATTTTATCCTATTAATTTAATCTTTGAAGGTATTCTCGCAAGCGTTATGTAATATCTGTTTAAACATTGCGATGTGCTTCATGTGCTCTTATTCATGTAAAATGAAAGTAATTGAGCCCTCGTGCTGCCGTTTTCCAGTATGCTCAATAACCCATTCAGTTTAATTCAATAATAATAATAATAGTCCGCTTTTATATAGCGCTTAATACAAATGTCTCTAAGTGCTTTAAAGATATACTATTACCCCGGTCATTGGATTTAATACTTAACCGCATGCACTGAGTACGCAATCTCCACTCCCTGGGGAGCATTCAATGAGTCAATTGAATGACCTACGGTACCTCCACATAAAATACTATTAAAGTAATTTATTTAAGATAAGTGCTTTTACCGCCTATCAAGAATTAAGAAAGTTAAAATTCCTCTTCTCCCTTGTGTACCATGTCACTTTTCAGACATGGATATTCTTTGGTGTTAGTCGACCTCCATCCTAACCACAATCACGATGACTATGATAAAAATGAAAAACAAATACAAAAATCATGATGTCAAAGGTATCATATAATGAAATACTAATAGTTGGCTTTCAGAAGAAGAAAAAACGCAACATTTATTCTTGGAAGGAGTACACTCACATTTGAAAGGCACCCTGGGTATTATGACAAAAATGTAAAGAAATAAAGTGAATGGAATTTCGAACCACTCTTTTTCAAAAAGTGACAGCTCAAACAAAATTGCCGGAACATAATGAAATCTGATACGAGACGATTGTATCACCCTTTCCCGAAGAGTCCTCAAGAAGTATAAAAGGGACAAGTTGTCGCTGCTGAAGTAGAGGATAGCGTTCATCATCTTCACCGAGTACAAATCCATCATCATCCTAACAAAAATTCATCATCATCTTAATGAATTCTGAATGGTAGAAAAGGAGAAATAATATGTAGTGAATGAAAAGAAATAAGGAAATCTCCAAACGTTGTCTCGCCTGCATGTCACGATGCGAATGATAACACATTACACATAATTATGAAAAGTATCTCATTTCAAGCTTTCAGGAGTTTAGGATGTTAATTTTGGTTCTGACAGTTTCCGGTAATGGTAATGTTGCATAGACTTTATCCTTGGAAAATGAGAAATCTCTATTTAAGAATGCTGCTAATACGATCTAAAAAAAACTATGGTAAAAAAAATATAAAAAAACAGACTAGAAAAATATTCAACTGCACACGCCGCGCCGTTGAGAATTATGCCTCTGCCTCTGATTGAATATCTCTCAAGTAGAATGTTTCTCACATGACATAACTGTTGACCTGGCGATCCGAAATCATCTTGAGATTGTGCGTTGTTCATAAAGTCTACTTAGGTACATATCAAGTTTGGTGAAATTGTAGTGGATCATCGTTCATTTGCCTAAGATGCCCTTGAACCTTCGACCTCATCATCGAAGTGTTATTCAATCATTAGTGTGTGTACAGTGCTTTTCATAAAAAATTGATTGACCTTTTGACTATTTGACCTCGGTCTGATTTGACCCATGTACCTGGGGTTTGAATTTAGTGATCATACCTCGTAGCTATACAAATTTATTGCGAATACAGCATGAGTGTTGACGACAACAACACGAACGACGACAACAACGACGACAACAAATACACCGACGCCGGATATAGTGACGCCTATGTCTCGCTCCATTTCGCAGGCGAGACAAAAATGACGCCGAATGGTAATTATAGGTAAAAGTCGACTACTGGTCATAATGTGAAAATAAATGTTTGGGACCAATTATGGAGGTTTCATATAAGAATCGGTGTATACTGTCAGCTGACTGTGAGGTTTTGAAACGGGGGGGAAGGGACGAGACAAGAAGACTCCTGAACCCCCTCCCATACTCTTTCTCTGAGCAGCAGCCTTTCAAATTCGTATTTCATTTTACGAGTAAGATCGGTGCCCATCCCCATATCATTCCAGTTCCCCTTCAATGGGTTGATTACACTATGCCACTGACATCATCCATTCAATGCACTCACCTTTAAAGTCGACTTTACCATCATTAGTAAAGTCGGCTTTGTCGATCATTGCGTTGATTTCTTCCTCCGACATCGGTCGATCAATGCTTAACATCGCTTGACGCAGCTCGTCAGCACTGCAAGCAAATAATTAACAAATAACAATTATTTGAGTTCACTTTCTACAAATTTGGATTAAGTCATTGACTAAAATCATCGAATAATCTTTTATAATGTAATGAATAATGATCCAGTATTGAGGCGCTAAATCCCTATCGCACTATAAAATGATCAATTGGACTATAATAATTAGTTTACAATACTTGTTTAGGAGTACACTTCTTTAAATACCCGTTTAGGATGTGAATTCTTGAGAAGAAAAACAACGCGAAATCCTCATTTAGGGTGTATTTTTGCCTTCAGAAGAAATCATCCTTTAGGGGGTGTCTGGAATACCTGTAGTCACACATGCTTACAGTATTTCTGCATGAATGAGACCACCGGGGCGAGCATCCCTTCTTACCCCTTTCACTCCTTAAGACTACCCTATCATTGTTCAACTACCCTATCACTGTCCAACTACCCTATCACTGTCCAACTACCCTATCACTGTCCAACTACCCTACCACTGTCTAACTACCCTAACACTGTCCAACTATACCCTATCAATGTCCAACTACCCTATCACTGTTCAACTACCCTATCACTGTCCTACCCAGGCGCGGATCCAGGGGGGGGGCGAGCGGGCCTTGCCCCCCCCCCCCCCCAAAAAAAAAAAAAAAAAAAGAGAAAAAAGGAAAGAAGCGAAAGGGAAAGAGGAGAGAAAGGAAAAGAAAGAATAGGAAGAAGAAAAGAAAAGGGGAAGAAGGAGATCGGGGGGCCGAAAGGGCTTTGCCTCCCAGGCTGTTGCCCCCCCCCCCCATAAAACAAATAAGAGAGAAGGAAGGAAGGGAAAGGAAAAGAGGAGATACTGGCGTACTGATAGGGAGGGGGGGGAGAGTTAGTGGAAATCAAATTCAAACGTGGTTTATTTCTAATTCCACAACGGTGGATTACAAATAATGCTGAAATGACATCATTTCCGAGATTTTTCCTAACTTTTTGGTAAATTATACGTTTGTATGTGTTTGTTGGAAAATGACAAATTCCTAAATTTGCAGCCAGGCAAGAAATATGATTCTTGAGATTCCTTCATGTCAGGGCCCGAGGTACGGTTGGGATCGGGAGCCTCGAGCTCTCTCCCCCCCCCCCCCCCCCCCCCCCACTTTTTTTGAAAAAGTATATTAAAGAGAAATAAAATAGAATGAGAGCAAGAAAGAAAGAATAGTTAACTGCCAGTGTTAACAAATAATGAGGCATCAAAATATGCTCATCTGACCGTGATTAAATGCCTAAAACCCCTAAGCTTCCGTGGGCTCTGCCCCCTGGATCCCACCAAGGGCCCTACGGCGGGTCCTTAGATGCTCATTTGACGGTAATTTAATACCTAAAACCCCTGATTTTGGGGGCTCCGACCCCTGGACCCAACGCCAAATAGTTACCTGCCAGTGTCACGAAATAATAAGGTATACAAAAAAAAATATGCTCATATGACCTTAATTAAACGCCTAAAAGCTCTGAGCTTCCGGGGCCGGCTTCGCCGCCGCTCCAGACAAGGATTAACAATCGAGAACGGTACAGCGAATCGTCTTTTTTCTCTCATAATCTTATGAAACGTGAAGCTTCCGCGCTTTGCGCGGGAGGGGGAACCTGAATTCAGACAAGCATTCAGAGGCGAGAACGGTAATACCAATCTTTTATGATTTAATAAAACGTAAAAGCTTCCGCGCTTCGCACGGGATGGAGGGGGGGGAACTTAATTCCGACGAGGATTATTTTCGAGAGCGGTACAACGAAATCGTCTTCTTTCTCTAATGATTTAATGAAAATTAAAAGCTTCCGCGCTTCGCGCGGGAGGGGGGAACCTGAATTCAGACGAGGATTAAGAGTCGAGAACTGAACAGGAAATCGTCTTTTTTCTCTCATAATCTTATGAAACTTTAAAGCTTCAGCGCTTCGCGCGGGAGGGGGGGGGACCTGAATTCAGACGAGGATTAAGAGTCGAGAACGGTACAACGAATCGCCTTCTTTCTCCAATAGTTTAATGAAACGTCAAAGCTTCCGCGAATCGCGCAGGAGGGGGAGGGGGTAAACTAAATTCAGACGAGGATTAAGAGTCGAGAACTGTTTAGCCAATCGTCTTCTTTCTCTCATAATCTTATGAAACTTAAAAGAGGGGGGGGGGGAGAGTCTAAATTCAGACGAGGATTATTTTCGAAAACGGTACAACGAATTGTTTTGTTTCTCTAATGATTTAAGGAAACTTAAAAGCTTCCGCGCTTCGCACGATAGGGGGAACCTGAATTCAGACGAGAATTTAGAGTTGAGAACTCTACAACGAATCGTTTTCTTTCTCTAATAATTTAATAAATCCTAAAATTGTCCGCGCTTCGCGCGAGAGGGGAAAAACTGAATTCAGACGAGATTTATTTTCGAGAACGGTACAACGAACCATCTTCTTTTTCTAATAATTAAATGAAACGTCAAAGCTTCCGCGTTTCGCGGAGGAGGGAGGGAGAAATTCGCCCCTCCCTGCACCGACCGACCCCCCCCCCCCCGCATCACGTCACTGTTGGTCACCATTACGTACCAATATTTGGCTCGCATAATTTCAAATTTGGGCCCCCCCCCCCTAAGAAATCCTGGATCCGCGCCTGGTCCTACCACCCTATCACTGTCCAACTACCCTATCACTGTTCAACTACCCTATCACTGTTCAACTACCCTATCACTGTCCTACCCAGGCGCGGATCCAGGGGGGGCGAGCGGGCCTTGCCCCCCCCCCCCCCGCAAAAAAAAAAAAAAAAAAAAAAAAGAGAGAAAAAGGAAAAGAAGCGAAAGGGAAAGAGGAGAGAAAGGAAAAGAAAGAATAGGAAGAAGAAAAGAAAGGGGGAAGAAGGAGATCGGGGGCCGAAAGGGCTTTGCCTCCCAGGCTGTTGCCCCCCCCCCCTAAAACAAATAAAGAGAAGGAGGAAAGGGAAAGGAAAAGAGGAGATACTGGCGTACTGATAGGGAGGGGGGGGGGAGTTAGTGGAAATCAAATTCAAACGTGGTTTATTTCTAATTCCACAACGGTGGATTACAAATTGCTGAAATGACATCATTTCCGAGATTTTTTCCTCACTTTTTAGTAAATTATACGTTTGTATGTGTTTGTTGGAAAATGACAAATTCCTAAATTTGCAGCCAGGCAAGAAATATGATTCTTGAGATTCCTTCATGTCAGGGCCCGAGGTACGGTGGGGATCGGGAGCCTCGAGCTCTCCCCCCCCCCCCCCCCCCTTTTTTTTGAAAAAGTATATTAAAGAGAAATAAAATAGAATGAGAGCAAGAAAGAAAGAATAGTTAACTGCCAGTGTTAACAAATAATGAGGCATCAAAATATGCTCATCTGACCGTGATTAAATGCCTAAAACCCCTAAGCTTCCGTGGCTCTGCCCCCTGGATCCCACCAAGGGCCCTACGGCGGGTCCTTAGATGCTCATCTGACGGTATTTAATGCCTAAAACCCCTGATTTTGGGTGGCTCCGACCCCTGGACCCTACGCCAAATAGTTACCTGCCAGTGTCACGAAATAATAAGGTATACAAAAAAAATATGCTCATATGACCTTAATTAAACGCCTAAAAGCTCTGAGCTTCCGGGGCCGGCTTCGCCGCCGCTCCAGACAAGGATTAACAATCGAGAACGGTACAGCGAATCGTCTTTTTTCTCTCATAATCTTATGAAACGTGAAGCTTCCGCGCTTTGCGCGGGAGGGGGAACATGAATTCAGACAAGCATTCAGAGGCGAGAACGGTAATACCAATCTTTTATGATTTAATAAAACGTAAAAGCTTCCGCGCTTCGCACGGGATGGAGGGGGGGGGGGACTTAATTCCGACGAGGATTATTTTCGAGAGCGGTACAACGAAATCGTCTTCTTTCTCTAATGATTTAATGAAAATTAAAAGCTTCCGCGCTTCGCGCGGGAGGGGGGAACCTGAATTCAGACGAGGATTAAGAGTCGAGAACTGAACAGCAAATCGTCTTTTTTCTCTCATAATCTTATGAAACTTTAAAGCTTCAGCGCTTCGCGCGGGAGGGGGGGGGGGGACCTGAATTCAGACGAGGATTAAGAGTCGAGAACGGTACAACGAATCGCCTTCTTTCTCCAATAGTTTAATGAAACGTCAAAGCTTCCGCGAATCGCGCAGGAGGGGGAGGGGGTAAACTAAATTCAGACGAGGATTAAGAGTCGAGAACTGTTCAGTCAATCGTCTTCTTTCTCTCATAATCTTATGAAACTTAAAAAGAGGGGGGGGGGGGAGAGTCTAAATTCAGACGAGGATTATTTTCGAAAACGGTACAACGAATCGTTTTGTTTCTCTAATGATTTAAGGAAACTTAAAAGCTTCCGCGCTTCGCACGATAGGGGGGAACCTGAATTTAGACGAGAATTTAGAGTTGAGAACTCTACAACGAATCGTTTTCTTTCTCTAATAATTTAATAAATCCAAAATTTTCCGCGCTTCGCGCTCGCGCTCGGGGATGAGAAAAACTAAATTCAGACGAGATTTATTTTCGAGAACGGTACAAGGAACCGTCTTCTTTTTCTAATAATTAAATGAAACGTCAAAGCTTCCGCGTTTCGCGGGAGGAGGGAGGGGGAAATTCGCCCCTCCCTGCACCGACCGACCCCCCCCCCCCCCCCGCATCACGTCACTGTTGGTCACCATTACGTACCAATATTTGGCTCGCATAATTTCAAATTTGGGCCCCCCCTAAGAAATCCTGGATCCGCGCCTGGTCCTACCACCCTATCACTGTCCAACTACCCTATCACTGTTCAACTACCCTATCACTGTTCAACTACCCTATCACATCACTGTCCAACTACCCTATCACTGTCCAACTACCCTACCACTGTTCAACTACCCTATCACTGTCCAACTACCCTATCACTGTCCAACTACCCTATCACTGTTCAACTACCCTATCACTGTTCAACTACCCTATCACTGTCCAACCACCCTATCACTGTCCAACTACCCTATCACTGTCCAACTACCCTATCACTGTCCAACTAACCTATCACTGTCCAACTTACCAGAGAAGGTTGTCGCCATCCTTGTCCAAGGCTTTGAAAGCTGTGCGGTATTGTGGCATTGCTGTCCTCCAGTTCGACCTCACCTTACCTGCTATAATCTCCAAAAACTCAGGAAATGTCATAGTTCCGTCTAGCCGAATGAAGGAAAAAAGGGTTATTTAGGTCCCACACAAAAGTCCTTTTCGAACAGTGATTCATCTTGCATTATTACGTCTCGATTTCAATGCACGAAGATTAGATCCGATAATTCACTAAAATAAATGCCTAATGAGTGGAGACATCTTAAGGTGATAAAAAGTAAGCACTTTCATGTACCTTTTGTTGAAACGAAGCTCCCATTCCACCATAGAAAATAGAATTGTGTACTACCACTTTAAAAAGAAATTAGTTTCACCTTTCACTGTAATTATTGTTGACCTGATGACCTCTTGGTAATACTTCATACACAGACGTTCAAGCAAGCTATTGATTTATACATATATATTTGACATTAATTATGCTTCAAGTCATAGATTATTAATTCAATTTACGTGTTGTGGTCAGTTTCATCTTTCGTTATCATTTCATAAGTCTTCACCATAAACTCACCATCAGCTCTAGACTTGTCAAGCTCATCCTCAGTAAGGACATGACCCACTGATTCCATCGCATACTTCAAGTGCCTAGTAGGGAAGGTGCCATCGCTTTTCTTGTCAAGGGCCTCGAATTTTTTCTTGAATTCTATTTAAAAAAGAGGTAATAACAAAATAAAGTGGAGATATGGTGTGAGTGAGAGAGGGGAGGAAAGAAGCAGGAGATGTTTGTAGGAAACATCGAGTAATGTACACACATATACATACATATATATATATATATATATATATATATATATAATATATATATATATATATATATATATCATATATAAACTAGCAAAGGACTTGCAATTGCTAATAAAAGCAAAGTCGTTCCTCTTAAAAGCAAATACTTTCACATGACTATAAATTATTGAAGTGAATAAGAATTTGTTTTTCATCATTAGCGTTATTTTGCTTGATTTCTTCAATATTGCAATCTTCAAATTGCAAGCAGACGTGATGTCTCAGTGGTGGAGCAGTGGTCTCGAAACCGGGAGGTCCCGTGATCGAAACCAAGTCTATGCGCTAGTGCCTTTTAGTAAGGCATTAATCCTCATTACCAAGTCCCTCGGAGAGGATTGAAAGCCGTCGGTCCCCTGGTTGCTTACTTACAAGCACCCATGCTTTCTTAGCATTCAAGTATTACAAACAAACTAACCAACCAACCAACTGATATCCTCTCATGTTAACGGGAATTGTTTTTTATCCTAGAAGACCAGCTATTATTTCACATCTTTAATGATCTTATTTTATTTTGATGCTCTTCGAGAGCTAACATTGTACCGCAATACTAATATCGTGTTTTAACATTGTTTTATAATACCCTCTTGTTATATCTTTCGTCTCCCATTTTAAAAATTGAAAGATTCGGAATTTCGTACCTGCTATCTGCTGTTCGGTAAATATGATTTTGGCTGCCTGTAATGAAAGAAGAAAAAAACGAAATTAAAAGAACATTGTTAGCAATGAGGAATCCAGATAGTGAAATGTCGTATTTTGCTTCAGTGACTTATTATACACCAACAAAAAGGGGCACTTTCTGGAGAGAAAAGAAAAGATCACTTACAACCTCAAAGCGAAAATATAGCTATTATAAATGGGTAGGCCCTTTAATATACCCCCTACATTGTGATTAGATTATCAGGGATGATTTCATAGTTTGTTTATCTCTTTACATGGTCCAAGATACTGCTTAAGTATCATACTTAGCAGTGTGATGGTCTTAATATTTAATTGCGAGCGAGCGAAGAGAGCAAGCAAAACAAAAAATATTTGCGATGTCGTATTGCGAAAAAATACATCTTATAAAGAGGGTAAAACGATCCTAATCATGAAAGACTGACAACGTATTTAATAAGAAACAAAATTTATTAAAACAAAATGCGAGCAAGCAAAATGCAGCGAGCTTTGGGTGAACTTGAAGAAAAAAGTTGATCATATAGTCGCTTTAAATTAGGAGCATATTTTATAGTGAAACGTAAAGGGGCCAATGTTAAAAGGACACTAATTAAAAAAGAAAAGGAGAACGTGTCAAGGTAAAAATCGTGATTATCAAAGGTGACAATGGGGCACTGCTAGCACCTGATAAGGGGCACTTACCAGAAATGAAGAAAGGCACTCATGCGGACGGAAAGGGACACTTTTTACAAAGTAAAAGGGGCAATTATTAAAAGGAAAATGGCACTAATTAGAAAGGATAGGGGCACGTGTCAAAATAAAAGAGGCACTTATCAAAGGTGAAAAGGGGCATTTATTACAAAGTCGAAGGAGCACCTCTCAAATTGTAATAAGGGCACTCACCGGAGATGAAAAGAGGCACTTTAAACTATCAATATGAAAGGGACACCTCTCGTATTTGAAAAGAAGCAATTAGAGGTATTTCTTGTACCTGAAAAAGGGCACTCATCTAAGATGAATAGGGGCACTTGTTAGAATGGAAAGGGGCACGTATTACAAAGGAAAATGGGCACTTGTCGAAATAAAAAGGGCAACTATTAGATTTTGATAAAGGCATTTGGCAGACGTGTGAGAAGGGGCATTTAAGGGAAAGGGAACTTGCTCTTATCAAAAAAGAAAAGGGACATTTCCAGACTTAAGTCAACAAATATTCATTAAAAAATACTCGTTAAGCTTAGAAAGTTATCTAAACCCATGCCTAACTATTATAGTACGCCCGCCGAAGCCTGTCCGCATCGCTTCCGTGATCAACTAAAAAACTTCATTGTTCGACCCTATCAATTAAATTCAGGAAAAATAGGAGCAGTTCCCTGTAGATCCAGGACTTTAAAGTGTTATTTTGTGGTCTCGTCAGGTCTGACTACAGAGGTCCCCCCCCTTTTTTTTTTTCATTACCGGCCTTCTACCGTGGTAATGCCGTCTTATAATTAGGGACCTGTTGAAAGGGGACGATGACGCGTTCCTCTCACACTAATCCTATCCTCCTTATTTTGTAGACCATTTTAATTTTGGGGACGGTGAGGCGATGTCCTGTGACCCTATTCATGTTACTCCTTTGGGCATACCGTTCCAATTGTATTTCTTTGTTTTGTTTGTCTCCTTCTCTAAGCTTCTCTTCGTTACCTTTTATCCTTTCTTCTATCATTCTAACATTTTCTCATCCCTCTTTCGATCTGTTATTCTGTGCTGTTATCCTTCTATCGTTTCCTCTTCTTTCTTTCCAGATGTAATCATTTCTTTTATCGTTCTATCAATTCCTGTTCTATCTTAATTTCTTATATTACTCTTTGTTTTATCCTTTCATCTTTTCCTTTATCTCTCCCTCATAATTGTTTGTTTTTCGAAAAATGACCTTTTATATTCCCTTTCTGTTATTTCCCATGTACACGACACACTATTCCGTCCGTTTACAGACTGGACGTTATTTCAGCCGAGACTGGAGAACCATCCTGAAAATCAAAGGACGGTGACATGTACGATTTTGCACATGCGGAAACCGATATTTCGCTAGGCTGATGACCGTAGAGGCATCGCAGAGGCGAACTTTGATTTTCGCCAACATGCGTCAGAAAAGGTAGCGAATTCCAAAATCGCAACGTTCGTAAGCATTCGCCGCTCCCCCTTAAGAAGTTTAGCGACGGTTGAGCCATGAGTCTTAAACGCGGATCAACTTATTCCCGGTCACTTTAAGGTCACTGAGCTTTCGAAAATAGGACGTAAGCAGGGCTCCCACTTAGCCGAGTTGGAGCCACGAGTTGTGGCGAGCTGGCGCGATCTTATGGCGAGCCGTTTTATCATTAAAACATATTTCTTGATATCACGAAATCGATTCTTGATATCACGAAATCGAATTCTTGATATCAAGAATTACCATTGCTTTACAACGTAAAATTATTTCTTGATATCAAGAAATATGTTTTAATGATAAAATCAGCTTGCCATAAGATCGCGCCAGCTCGCCACAACCCGAGGCTCCAACTGATGATAGTCCAGGCTAGAGAGCAAGGAACCTTGTTTTTTTTATATATACAATGTTTTTTTGATGGTTTCTTATCAATTTGAGGGTGCTGATTCCAATCCGATGAGTGCCAGACGCGAAACCTTGAGCATTTTTCGTAAAACGCGAAAATTCAAAATGGCCGCCAAAATGGCCGCCAAATCATGAAAACGCTTATTATATGGCCATTTAAAAGGTTATTCGATGTTTTCTTGTCAATTCGGGGGTGCTGAGTCCGAATCCGATGAGTGCCAGACGCGAAACCTTGAGCATTTCTTGTAAAATGCGAAAAATTCAAAATGGCCGCCAAAATGGCCGCCAAATCATGAAAACGCTATTATATGGCCATTTAAAAGGTTATTTGATGTTTTCTTGTCAAATCGAGGGTGCTGAATCCGAATCCGATGAGTGCCAGACGCGAAACCTTGAGCATTTCTCGTAAAATGCGAAAAAATTCAAAATGGCCGCCAAAATGGCCGCCAAATCATGAAAAAGCTCATTCTATGGCCATTTAAAAGATTATTTGATGTTTTCTTGTCAAATCGAGGGTGCTGAATCCGAATCCGATGAGTGCCAGACGCGAAACCTTGAGCATTTTACGCAAAATACGATTATTATTTTTGTAGTCGATACCAATATAGTGAACCCAGCAGGCTAGCTAGAAATCAAACAAAGTTTACTTTGTGTAATGGGAAAGTTATATACACGTATAAATAAAATAATGAATAATGAGCATATAGATGATATAGATATTCATTGTAAAACATATTTTTGTCCATTATAGACAATCATTTACCATAATAATATTGATGTCTTTCTAGTCTTACCACCTCCATAATAGCAGTGCCGAACAAAGTCAAATATTATTAGTCTTCACAACTGCTAATGTCACTGTCACTGTCACTCTCTTCTGATGTCTTGTTCATTGGATTTTGGCAGCGGACATCGCCCTTACAGCGGCAGAATTCCAAGCATGCCAATGACGATTTGGTGCAGCTGCACTGGGCTGTTCTGCAGTCGCTCTTACACCCATACTTAATGATATTGAGGACTTCTTCCGGTCGACTGGCTGATCATTTTCGAGATAGACGGGTTGAATCGTAGAAGATTTCATCCTCCATCCATTCTTCAATGGGTCTAGGGCTGGGGGTACTGGCTTGCCAGCATCCACCCACAACGCTACTTGATAATGGGCACGCTGGCAATGTGGCCGAAAAGCGGCCATAGTTGGTGTAAGACTCATTAATTTGGGAGGTACTAGGCGCTTGCCACCAGCCTTCTTTGTGAAAATGTTTCTTCGCATTGTGTCAAGAGAGTCATTTGGTTCTTCTCGGTACAGGGATGCCAGTATCTCAAGCAGGATTATATTACTTCATCGAGAGGCGTTTCAGTATTACCAAGGAGTAGAGAATCAGGATAGGGCTCCCAATTCTTGAGTGCAGATGCCTTTCCTACTCCATAGAAACAGGAAACGGTATCGCATCCAGTCAATGCATGGGCTCCAAGTAGATTGGGCATGATCTTCGTGTGTTTCTTGATAACCTTATTGACATCTATGACTTCTCAAGTGCGAGACGTTGATTCCATTACCACCTTTGTTGTGTGTGGTATTCCATTGGTTTGGAAATGTAGATGGTGTGCAAGAATGACCAGAACATCTGTGTCATCGCACACAACTTTGATAGGTGAGTGACCATCCTTGGATCATGCGGATCAGGTCCAATTACGATCAGTCGTTTGCCCTCTGGTACTTGCATGGAACACAACTGATCTACGATCATCTTGATGACTTGTTGCTTGTTTGCAGTTACATTTAGGATGACGTTCTGCTTTGGCAGTGACTGTTCAGCTTGTATACACGGTTGCAACCTACCCGGGCGTAGATCATCTCTGTATTGATAACTATAGATACCTCACCTCTTGATGACATATCAGAAGCCTTTGCCATTCTTTGACTCTCCTCTTCATTGTGTCATGGAACCCATTCGGCAACTTTCTTTCGTACCCGTTCATCTGATCAGTTCCAATCTTGATTGCATCATCGGCATTTACTGCTGGATAATCTACAACCTGTCCAGTGTAGATGTTCACCAGGCTTGAAGGAGGATGCTTCTCACTGTCAAATACATCTATACATGTCGATAGCGACTCTCGAATTCCCTTTCGGTCAGCCGCATCTTATTTGATTATTTGAGACTCTCTTCTTTGTGACAAGTGACAACTTTTTGATCTTTCCCTTCTTGCACGGCTTCCAAGTCATTCTTTAGTTGTCAAAGAGGCTGAGAGACAAAGCCCAGATAGCAAGGGTAGACTCGTTCAAAGTGGATGGGTGGATGGAGGAAGGGTTGGGTGGATGGAGGAGGGGTAGAGTGGATGGAGGAGAGGTAGGGTGGATGGAGGAGAGGTAGGGTGGATGGAGGAGAGGTAGGGTGGATGGAGGAAGGGTTGGGTGGATGGAGGCGAGGTAGGGTGGATGGAAGAGGGGTAGGGTGGATGGAGGAGAGGTAGGGCGGTTGGAGGAGAGGTAGGGTGGAAGGAGGAGGGGTAGGTGGATGGAGGAGAGGTAGGGTGGATTGAGGAGAGATAGGGTGGATGGAGGAGAGGTAGGGTGGATGGAGGTGTGATAGAGGTAGGGTGGATTGAGGAGAGGTAGGGCGGTTGGAGGAGAGGTAGGATGGAAGGAGGAGGGGTAGGGTGGATGGAGGAGAGGTATGGTGGAAGGAGGGTGTGATAGAGGTAGGGTGGATGGAGGAGGGGTAGGGCGGTTGGAGGAGAGGTAGGATGGAAGGAGGAGGGGTAGGGTGGATTGAGAAGAGGTATGGTGGAGAGGAGGTGTGATAGAGGTAGGGTGGATGGAGGAGGGGTAGGGCGGATGGAGGAGGGGTAGGGTGGATTGAGGAGAGATAGGGTGAATGGAGGAGGGGTAGGGTGGATGGAGGAGGGGTAGGGTGGATGGAGGAGGAGTAGGGTGGATTGAGAAGAGGTATGGTGGAGAGGAGGTGTGATATAGAGGTAGGGTGGATGGAGGAGGGGTAGGGCGGATGGAGGAGGGGTAGGGTGGATTGAGGAGAGATAGGGTGAATGGAGGAGGGGTAGGGTGGATGGAGGAGGGGTAGGGTGGATGGAGGAGGAGTAGGGTGGATTGAGAAGAGGTAGGGTGGATTGAGAAGAGGTAGGGTAGGAGGAGGGGGGGTAGGGTGGATGGAGGAGGGGTAGAGTGGATGGAGGAGAAGGTCCCTTTTCATAGCGCATGTACGTCGATTCAATGTACATATCGGACCAGATGCCGTTCCAAATGCCATCCTGATGGTGCATCACATGTTCTCCATCTAAGAACTGCTTGAGTAATGCTGGTGGCAGACGTTGCATGGAGCGGAGATAGTACAGCCCATAGCGTGCATAATTGGTATGCCCTGAAGCAAAGAAATAGGGAAGCATTTCTTTGACAGCTTGCAGATGGAGAGACCAGTCACCCTCCCTCTCAGCTCTAACAAAAGCCATACAGATGAGCATGGGCTTTACAAGACAGTTCATCCACAACTTTGTAGTTCGACTCCTTTGCTTGCTGGCTACTTCAATCAACTCGTCAAAGTCAGTGAATTGGTGGTCTTCCAGTACTGATCTTAATATCTCCTCAATGACAAGTCGAAGCGCCCTGAAATTCTGTGGGAACTTCTTCCCAGACAGAAGTTTGGAACTCCAGCAAATCGTGACTTCAGTATGTCTTCGAGCCCACTTCCCGACATGAAATAGCCGATACTTCCTAGAAAACTAATTATCATGTGCATGCCGCCTAGTCTGGGTACAAACTTGGCAAATCTGTCTTGGTTAGCCCAGACTATGTTTACCATCACTTGGTAGAGTTGCTGATCACACGTAAGAATTGTCTATTCTTGACCTGTAAGTGATGTCAGGAACTGTGCCTGTACCATTGCTGTCATCATTGTGTCAGGTTCTGCTGGTGTCATATCCAAGAATGGAGTGTACACTACTGTAGTCTTGGGCCTCAGTTGCTGTCCACTGTCCCGTGCATGCTTTGTATTGAAACCGCTAAATTCTGGGCAATCCTCGTTTCTTGTCACGGCCTGTAGGAAAGTAAGATCTTTTGCTGCTGCTCTGTTCTTGGAGACTTGCATACTTTCATCTTACCTGTTGTATATATCAATTACATGATGTGGTAGCCAGTTAACCATGGGTCTAGCTCTCAGATGCTTGTTTCCATGGTGAATATGAAGGACATGGCACTAGCCATGTAACAAGTCACCTGACTCCAACTAGAATGAAAAGTCTCAAATTTGTGTTTGGGTCATGCATACAAATGCATACAAATGGGGCAGTGTACTTTATGTGATGTTTGTGGAAGATGTTTGTGTGTGTGTGTGAGGGGTGGTGTGTGTGTGAGGGGTGGGATGGGTGTGGGTGTGTGCCAGGGTGGGGTGGGTGTGTGTGTGGGTGAGCGTGTGTGTGGGTGTTTTGTATAATTGTTTGCGGGTGATAATTGCACATTTAGAAAAAACCTCTGAGGTCTTAAATCGTGCTCATTAATGGTTTTATTAAATGTGTAATTAAATTTATTTGGCGGCCATATTGGCGGCCATTTTGACTTTTTCGCGTTTTACGAAAAATGCTCTAGGTTTCGCGTCTGGCACTTATCGGATTCGGATTCAGCACCCTCTATTTGACAAGAAAACATCAAATAATCTTTTAAATGGCCATAATTAAGCTTTTTCATGATTTGGCGGCCATTTTGGCGGCCATTTTGAATTTTTTCGCATTTTACGAGAAATGCTCAAGTTTTTGCGTCTGGCACTCATCGGATTCGGATTCAGCACCCTCGATTTGACAAGAAAACATCAAATAACCTTTTAAATGGCCATATAATAAGCGTTTTCATGATTTGGCGGCCATTTTGGCGGCCATTTTGAATTTTTGCGTTTAACGAAAAATGCTCAAGGTTTCGCGTCTGGCACTCATTGGATTTGGATTCAGCACCCTCGAATTGACAAGAATCACTCAAAAAACATTGTATATATAAAAAAACATGGTTCAGTCCCTTTCCTATGGGGCCTAGCCTGGACTATGATACAAATTTTGCCGGGAAACCGCCTACTAATAATTGATATATATGGTAAATTATTATATTTATCCGGACTGGATATATATCGCGTAGTCCAGGCGCGTACGCAGGATTTTTTCAAGGGGGGGGGGGGGGGGTTTTACATTTATAAATCGGGCCGAAAATTTCGCAACGACTCAGCCAGCCGCTGAATAAGCGGGGGGGGGGGGGGGGGGGGGGGGTAAGAGGTCACTTTTTTCTTTTTTTTTGGTCTCGAAATTTGAAAATTTGACATTTTGCTCCGTTGGGGGGGGGGTAAGGTCAGCTTTTTTAGGTCAACCAAAAAAAAAAGGGGGGGGGGGTTTTAGAGAATTTTAGGGGGGGTTTACACACAAAAAATTACCAAAGGGGGGGGGTTTAACCCCCCAAACACCCCCCCCCCCCCCCCCTTCGCGCCTGGCGAAGTCCCATATACATCTTTCTGGGCCAAATTTCTTATCATTTTGATGATTCCAGAACCTTGCAGTACACAACAATACTTATATGCTAGATGATCAACCTTTTCTGATCGATTCCACAACGTTTCTTTCACAATGCAATCGCATGACCAGAACTGGTCTATACCTTTAATCAAAGGGCAACAAATTCTGAAACTGCATTGTAAGATCACTTTCAGATTAGGAGAAGTTTATTCTTTAAAGAGTATTTTAAATTGAATGGAACGTCTCAACTCAGTAAGCATGGCTGAGATTTGTAAAAAGTGCTCATTGAAAAAAATCCCTGCATCGATTTGAATAACAATCATATTTGTCGCATGATCCCTTTTAATAACCTTGTTTTCTCTCTCGTTTGCAGGGAGAGAAGAAGCTATGTCACGTTAAAGACATCACAAAAAATCAGTCTATTGCGTTTATACATATAAATACAGAACAACCCATGTAATTATTAGAATGTCATTTTGGAATAACTCTTCAACGAATACCCGACATTATAGCATCACTACATTGCCGGTACCACATTGTCTTTAACCAGTATCATATAAAGTTATTATTAATATCCAGTTCAGTATAATGTTTTTCGGCAAATAAAGATGCGCTATTTTTTTAGGGTTGAGATGCTAGGAAATGGTTTCAAGAGTATATTACACAAATCTAAACCATTAGATAATGATGAAGGCTCTCTCTCTCTCTCTCTCTCTCTCCCTCTCTGCATTATCAACTACATAGAAAGCAATACAAAAAACTTAGGGTTATCTGGGATAACCTCGTTTAAGCAAGTCATGTAAAAATGGCGCTTCACCCCCCCCCCCCCCATCCCCTCCCCTAATTTTAAACTGGATTAACATCGAGGGACTATCGATTTTTGGAAGGAAAAAATTATCAGGCTTCAGGCGATGGCGATATTGCAGGGACTTTCTCCCGAAAGTACCGGATGGATTTAGAAAGGAATCCGAGATAACTCTTTCCCGATGATGGAGAATGCAACAAAATCTTTGGAACGCTTTACTTTTTAGTGAAAAACCCAAATTTGTAGTAAAGTACTGTAAAAAAAAATGTTTTACTTGAATTAGTTCACGTAGTAATTGTAATTTTAATTTAATTCAACCATATAATACTAGTTTAGTGTGATTTGTACTAATCTATTTCATTATTGCAGCAGTGATTATTGACCAGATACTTGCCCAACGAATCAACAACAAATGTATGGAAAGTGGATGGGGAAGCCATTATGCATCCACCCCGAACCCTCCGTTCAAGCAATCAAGCATTACTTTGTTTACCCAAAATCAATACATTATTCTAAGGGGCAGATCTTTTGCAGTTGCTGGACCATATACCTTTGGAACAATCTTCCCATTTCCATATACAGGCACCCACAGTCCGGTGACATATCCACACGACCACGACACCTCTACTTTATATTGTATCATTATTATCGTATGTGAATAGAATGAACAGGGGATCGGGAGAGAAATATACATAAATGGAATTCGATAAACAGGTGTATTAAAGGGATTGGATCGCCAGTTTTCATGTGCAGAAGGCCATAATTCGCTGACACCAGACTTGGTGGAAATACCATTAATGGGGGTACAAATTGCACACAGCAAACCCATAGTCCAGTCAAGAATTACCCCTAATCTCTCGGAGAGCTCGAGAGTCTTCGGGCAAATCATAGCATTACATAAGGTCCAATGGTCATAAAACTCAAGGCTAACCTGGTGATGGACAACACCTGTTATTGGGTAAACACCCGAACGGTGTCGAATTCCCCATGAGAGCCGACTAATACCTCCAAATTATTTTAAGCCTTAAATTACTGTAGACGACAGCAACACATGTCAGGATGGAAAACAAATGAAATCGTGATCTAACAACTTACCATCTTTAGAAATTGGGATAGATCCGGCAAAATTGAAGATAGAAAGCAAAATTTCTCTGGATCTCTCTTCTGGTCGACTTGCTTTCAAGGAGTGGCAAGGGTGCAGTGATGTCAAAGAGTATTATACAGACATATAAAGCACGTGACTATATGCTGGTAATGTCTAGCCGCCAGCTTCCACTTGTTTGCAAAAAGTTTCCTGTAAAAGAACGTCCAATTTCCTGGAATTTTTAAAAATGCCTCTTACGTGGATTTGTTACTTGGATGAATTGCTAAGGGGAGACAAAAGTCATACCCCAGTACGCTCTCGAGTTTGGCAATTCAGAACATCTAGATAGCCGTCGTGAGCGATAAAAACTCTAATCCATCCCTTGAAATTAAATTGCAGTGCCCCTATTATGTGCTCTTTTTAAAGGGTACAAAAAACCTCATATTAGGCATTCCATCTCATTCAGTAGTAGATTTAACGACCTAAATACTGGGAACAACATAATTATGGATTGATGCCCACATAATTGAGTTTGAAACGCACTTCTGGTCAAGAATGGTAGAAGAATCCGTCTGCATAAAAAAGATTAATCCTTCACTGAATAGGACTGATCTCGAGGCAGCAGACAGCAAAATATTGTGTAAATAATAAAAGGTCCGCATGAGTGTTTCAGATGTATCACGTTTTGTTTTCACATTGTTTTTGACGGATATACTTCCCTCATTATCACTTCAACATGCTGGCTTCGATTTTATGACTAAGAGTTTAATTGGCATATGTTTTGTTTGGCAAATGGTTTGTTTGGCATATGATTGGTTTGGCATATATGCTTATTGCAAGGCTGAACTTTACACTGGAGAAACGTAATATAAATATATCCGAAATAGTTTATGTAAACGTAAATGTCTGGATTGTTGTCGAAATCAATATTCATTACCTATACTTGTTTTCCGAGAGAGAGAGGGAGATAAAGAGAGAGGAAAGAGAAAATGATGGGGGAGAGGAGGAGGGATGTGAAGAGTTGGCTTGTTCCAAGATCTCTTTCTTCTTCTTTTTTGCATAAATGAACTTTGTATGACAGTTTTCTTTACTACATACACCATAACACTCTTAGCTGCTAACCAAACAAATACATAGAAAATGAAACCCCGGTAAAAACCACATCCATTTATTGATGACCCAATATAACTCTAACAGGGATTTAAACAAAAAAACATTTTATTTGTGTGTCAGTGCCTATACAGGGAAAAAAAGTAAAGAATATCCCAAAAAGATTCATCCCGATCAAATCTGTTTTTTTCATCGTAACCCTTTTCAGGAAGGCGGATATACCTGGACGCCCTACTTTCAAATATGAATTTTACATAGTTGGGGGGGGGGTCTTATGAAAGTGTGTCTTAGGGTATACTAGCATCATGGATTTCATGTATGATGTGCCGTTAATAAGGCATTTAGATAACATTTGACAATTGAATTATCTGAACGTCGCTATGCTGAACATGCATAATTGTTATCAAATTCATGACCTATGAAATATGGTTGTGTTCTTTTTCAAAAAGGAAACGAGATATGGACCCGAAAACGAGAGCTTGAGATTTTGATACAATCTTGAACTTCGACCCCCCCCCCCCCCCCCCCCTCTAAACTCTTTGCCCACTGCTCACCTGAATGACCAAGAAAAACAACCAATATTCTGAGAGAGTGACTCTAACATGACTCAAAACGCTCCCTGGGTGACCGGCAGTGAACAAAGACTTGTAAGGGGCCCCTATAACCTCCCTGAATATATAAGATATGTATAACAGTAAAACAGCAAGAGAGAGGGTTAAAGCCTTAGGTTCCATTGGTTGCTCATCAACAAGCATAATAATTATTCGCTTTTATATCAACCAGGTAAAATATATTATCAATCCACGAATTTGCAAAACTTGTTGAACCTAAAGGCCCGGTCACACAGAGGGGACGCATGGGGGACGCACGGCCGGCGCATGGAAAATTTGCAATTTTGGCCAGTGCGTTGTCGTGCGCCCAACTTTTGTCGAAGCTATACAGCTAGCTGACACCAAATGCATAGCGCGCTGGACGCATACAGGGCGTATACAGGGCGCACACAGGGCGCACACAGGGCGCACACAGAGCGCACATGAAAACAACTTCCACGAATGCACAGCGTGTTGCTAGCGCGCTGGACGAATGGTCCACGCATGCACCGCGTTCTACGACGCACGGCCAGCGCATTGAAAATCGGAAAAGAACGTGTGCCTAACTTTTGTCATAATTTTGGAAAAGCTAGCGAGCTGACACAAAATGCACGGCGTGTAGCTAGCGCGCTGTGCGTATACAGGGCGTGTGCTCCGCGTTTGTCTGGCGCTGGTCTAGCGCGCTCCACGCATGTCTGGCGCTGGTCTAGCGCGCTCCGGCGCATGTCTGGCGTGCCTTTGGCGTGTATATTCATGCGTCGAGCTCGGCGCACGTTTTTGAGCATGCTCAAAAAATCCCGACGCACACAGCGAATGACGACGCATGCATAGCGCTGGTCCAGCGTTGGTCCAGCGCGCTCGACGAACGAGTAACGAATGATGACGCACGCCTAGCGAACGACAACGCACTGGCCCAAATTGCAAATCTCCAATGCGCTGGCCGTGCGTTCCCCATGCGTCCTCCCTGTGTGACCGGGCCTTAAACAACAATTAAAAAAAAACAATGGTGGAAATTAGTTCATGTCCTAATTTAGGAGACAAATTTCACAATGCAACCATACTGCAGGGTTAATAGTGATTGGGTTCTCCTATAGGGTAACATTATTGTCGTTCTTAAATATACGGTTTTATGTTGTTAAAACCGAATTTTCATGCCGCGTCGCCTAAAATTCCTAGTTAACGCAATGAGGCAAAATTATGCATACTTGCTTATCTCTAAGTACTTTACAGAACAAAATACAGAAGGAGTGAAAATGGTGCACTGGGATCATAATTGTGAGATCTACAAAGTGCTGAATGGATATATTTTCAAATAACTTCTTAACTTTTCATACGTTTCTATTATCTTTAGGCATTACGGCAAGTTATTTCATAAAAAAGTGACTGCATATGAAAATGACATTTCCCCCATAAGATTTTGTCACAGTTTATTGGACATAAAATACACATTATTTAACTGAAACGCGGCATTCTTTCTGGTTTATACTGTATTAACAATTCAATGAGATATGATGGAGCAAACTGATGACAACATTGATAAGTTTAATCATAAAAGTTCTTGAAATGTAATACGGGACTGGATAGGTAGCCAATGTAAATTTCTTAAGTCTGGGGATATTGATTCATGTTTCTTTTGTTTCTTTGTTACGAGTCGAGCTGCTGAGTTTGAATAACTTGTAATCTTAGAATTTGACGAGAAACCAAAAAGCCAACTATTACATGAATCAAAATGGTACACAGCAAAAGTATGAATAAGGGGATCAGCGGTAGCGATATTTAAAATAGAATTTTAACTATTCTGTACAGCCCGAATGATGCTGAACGACATTTTCTTGCGAAACTGTTTAAACTTGAAGGTATCATCAAAAGTGACCACTAATAAGATTTATACATATCTTGGTTGCATGAACAAGAGTGCCATCTAGACCAATCAAAATCAAAATCAATTATAAAACATTAATTAGTTATGTATTGTCAGTAGACAACAAAGGATGTCCAAATGTCCATTGAGACAGAAAAAGAACCGTCCACTGGTTTCTAATTCCTTACTGCTTTTTTTTCCAAAAAAATGATTCAACAATATGGCAGTGGGATTCTAATCACAGATTCGTGTCAATCAATCTTTCTCATTCTCATCTCTTCCCCTTCTCCTCTTTCTCATTCCCATCTCTTCTTTTTCTCCTCTTTCTCATTCTCATCTCTTCCCCTTCTCCTCTTTCTCATTCCCATCTCTTCTTTTTCTTCTCTTTCTCATTCTCATCTCTTCCCCTTCTCCTCTTTCTCATTCCCATCTCTTCCCCTTCTCCTCTTTCTCATTCTCATCTCTTCCCCTTCTCCTCTTTCTCATTCTCATCACTTCCCTTCTCCTCTTTCTCATTCTCATCTCTTCCCCTTCTCCTCTTTCTCATTCTCATTACTTCCCCTTCTCCTCTTTCTCATTCTCATCTCTTCCCCTTCTCCTCTTTCTCATTCTCATCTCTTCCCCTTCTCCTCTTTCTCATTCTCATCTCTTCCCCTTCTCCTCTTTCTCATTCTCATCTCTTCCCCTTCTCCTCTTTCTCATTCTCACCACTTCCCCTTTTCCTCTTTCTCATTCTCATCTCTTCCCCTTCTCCTCTTTCTCATTCTCATCACTTCCCCTTCTCCTCTTTCTCATTCTCATCTCTCCCCTTCTCCTCTTTCTCATTCTCATCTCTTCCCCTTCTCCTCTTTCTCATTCTCATCTCTTCCCCCTTCTCCTCTTTCTCATTCTCATTACTTCCCTTCTCCTCTTTCTCATTCTCATCTCTTCCCCTTCTCCTCTTTCTCATTCTCATCTCTTCCCCTTCTCCTCTTTCTCATTCTCATCTCTTCCCCTTCTCCTCTTTCTCATTTCCATCTCTTCTTTTTCTTCTCTTTCTACTTCTCACCTCTTCCCTTTCTTCTCTGTCTCATTCTGAATTCTCCCGTTTTTGTATTGTGTGATTGTGGGTGTGTGCTTATACGTTGGTGATACCTGCTGATAGTTAATGGTGGGTCTCTTTTTTCCCCTTTTTTCTTCTTCTAAATATACGTATAATTATACGCTTAGTAATTTTTATTTATTTTGCTTTTTAATTTGATATTGTGTTTATCTTGTTAGGGGTCTCATGTACAAGCACAAGTTTCTTCTTTAGGTACTGGCCTATTATTTATTCTGTATTTATGACTTGGAATGTTTTTTTATGATGCCAAATGAACTGAAATGAATTAAAAATTGATTAAAAGTAAATTAATTATATAATATAAGTTCTTCAATAACACCGCTATGTAAATTCATTTCCCACAATATGTATTCATTTCCACGAGAGTCAGCAAACTTAGTTGTCACATTTGTCCCATAACATATTATGTGTAACTATGTATCCCTCTACTAAATGTCTAATGCAAACAAGTATAATTATGATGATGGATAACTTTAGGGACTTTTAGATTTGCACAACGACAACGTGGATTGATACGATCGACGTCCTTTTAATACACTGCCTGGAATGGACGTCACACGTATCAGTCCACGCAAATCTAAAAGTCCCTATTATCTGCCGTTGGGCCCATCATATCACCAAGGGGGTTCTAGGACAATTACCCCCTGGGCAATCACCCCCCGGAAAAGTACCCCCGGAAAACTACCCTCAAAGGACAATTACCCCCCTGGAATATTACCCCCCGAGGACAACTACCCCACGAAGACAATTACCCCCCCCCCCCGAGGACAACTACCCCCGAGGACAATTACCCCCCGAGGACAATTACCCCCGAGGACAATTACCCCCGAAGACAATTGCCCCCCGAGGACAATTACCCCCGATGACAACTACCCACGATGACAATTACCTCCGAGGACAATTACCCCCCCCGAGGACAACCACCCCCCCCCCCCCCGATGACAATTACCCCCCGAGTACAACTACCCCCGTGGACAATCAGGATTCAATATCAAAAGACGATCTGACACTTTGAGAGATGGCTACGAGCCCATAAGATCCCCTGCATGAACCCATATTCTTTCAAATACTATAGCACGTTGTCTTCCTCATTACTACACATTTCCCTTTTATTATAATTTATGCAACGCCAGTGCGGTTGCTAATTTCCACGAAGGATGTAAGTTTTAGGTTATTATCCAGCGCTTTTCAAAATGCATAGAAATACATTTCTCTGGAGCAGCGTTATTTTAATGTTTTGTTAGTCACGGTACCCTCTTAAGAAATGAAAATTTTCTTCCAAATCCCTAAGTCTTTACAGACTATTAATTTTGCTCTGGCTCTCGTCAAGTGCTATGCACACACGTATGGGCACATTTAAGAATAAAAAGGAGAAGACATTTTCAAACTGGTAAAAAATTAGTTTGTAATCCACACACTAGAAACTATTTAAAGTACTGTATGCGGGCACTTTGCCGCCGAATGTACATAAATAAAAAGTGATATATTCGGTCATGACCTCGATACACGAATATGAGGATATTCGGGCCTCTCGTTGCCCTTACTTGCCTTGCTGTCAAAATATTGTCAGCGAGCGAAGAAGGAAGACACTTTAGTATCTTCAAAATTTTATTTTCTCATGTATTTACATATTTTAACCGTTTCTGGTATTTGATTTTTTTTTACAAAATCAACGTTTTCCAAATCGTTCTCTTGCGGCATCCCGGTTGAAAAACGCTGTGCTGGAGTTACAAAATCAAATGAGATGAATTACCATTGAGCGGATATTTATTTTCTTTTGACATGGCATCGTACATACATGTATAACTTGAAGGCAATTTTTTTCTCAAAATAATTTAACGCACACGAAAACATATTATACTTCAGCAAGTTTAGCATGACAACAGAAATAAATAGATAACGTGAAGAAAACCTTAATTATGGATCATGGCATGGATGATGGCCCATTATACATACAAAGACAAATACACGATCAGCTGATTAAAAAAGTTACAGAGGATGCATAAAGGAAATCTTACATCCTAATTTCTTTGTTGTGCCATTGATGGTGAGAGAGGCTGTAACGCGTACTCATCTGCGCGCAATGTATTGTTCATTTTCTAAGAAATGTAATTTCTGTTCTTTACTCGGTAGCAAAACTACAGGGGAACTGGGCAACCTCCACCCACCCCCCCCCCCCCCATATCGAATTGAATAATTTGAAAAGACTGAAATGAACTTCATAAATAACAAAGAAAATGAAGGTTTATGCAATTTTCTGTAAATAGCAATTTGGAGAGAAGCTTGCGTTATACGTGTTCGGTGGTGATTGTCATTGGGAGTAGTTGTCCTCCGGGGGTTATTGTCCTCAGGGGGGGAGTTGTCCTCGAAGGGGGAGGGGTAGTTTTCCTCGGGGGGGGGGGGTAATTGTCCTCGGGGTAGTTTTCCTGGGGGATAGTTGTCCTCGAGGGTAATAATAATAATAATAATAACGTTTTATTTACCCAGGGTAGCCACTTCAGTTATGAAACTGCTCTTCCAGTGGGCCCTGCATAACATAATATGTTATTACTACCCTTCTCCAATCTAATATGCTGAGCGCCTAGCTAGAAGGCAGAATGTCCCATTGTTATAAGTCTTTGGTATGACTCAGTGAAAAAAATACACGGGGGCTCGGGGTCAATTAGCCCCCGAAATGCTAAAAAGAGCCCCCGAAAGTCATAAAAGAGCCCAACAAAATGTGCATAGAGTCCAATGCAAAACAAATTAAAAAGTGTTATTTTCATGCGAGCAAGCTTGAAAAGTAGCCCCCGAAATCGTTACAGTATTTTTTCCCTGGTACTATGACTCGGCCAGGGTTCGAACCCACGACCTCCCGTTCATGAGGCGAGCGCTCTAACTACTGATCCACCATACCAGTAGTGTCCATGGGGGGGGGGGGGTAATTGTCCCGGGGGGTAGTTTTCCTCGGGGGTAATTGTCCTCGGGGGGTAGTTGTCCTCGGGGGTAGTTGTCCTCGGGGGTAGTTGTCCTTGGGGGGTAATTGTCCTCGGGGGTAGTTGTCTTCGGGGGGTAATTCTCCGGCGGTAATTGTCCTTGGGGGGGGGGGGTAATTGTCCTCAGGGGGTAATTCTCCGGGGGGTAATCGTCCTACGGGGGTAGTTTTCCGGGGGTAATTTTCCGGGGGTGATTGCCCAGGGGGTAATTGTCCTGATACGCACCAAGGGCAATGAAGGGACTCTGAAGGAGATCCCCATTCAGCGGTAGGACTACCGTTCATCCTGATTCTATTTACAATGGATTTTAGATATTGTTTATATTATATTTCTAAAAATATATCACAATGCTTGAATCGCAAACTATGAGGTGGACAGTCATAATCATCATCATCATCATCGTCAGTTTCATCATCATCATCAACACCATCATCATCATCATCGTCATCATCATCATCAACACCATCATCATCATCATCATCATCATCATCATCATCATCATCTCTGTCATTACCATTTTGTCAACGAAGCGAGTAACCTTTCTGATTTTTTTTAAATACATGATTAATTCTTTACAGCAAATACATTTCATGAATTAAGGATGTTCATTTCTAAAAACTACTAGAAAATTATTTTTTCAGAGACAACATACAAACTGGGTCGTATTATTAACAGATTATTATTTAGCAGAGTTTTATTTAGTGAACATTGCATGTTTATAAATTGCACCAAACTAAATATACAATGTTTACATATACTCATTTTCTCCACTTTACTGTAAATGATATCGCCATATAATAATAATAATAATAATTTTGTTAACTTAGGGTAGCAACATCAGTATCAATACTGCTGTTCCCGCGGGCCCTGCAATTATCATCACCCCATCAATATTATTTGCCAGGTACTCATTTACACCTGGGTAGAGAGTGGCAAATGTTGAATTAATGCCTTTTCAAAGGACGTTGGTGCCGGACTCTCAAGCCTTGGATTGGTTTGGTTTGGTTTCATCATCGTATAAACAAACATAATACATACACATGAACATAAACAATACATTATAATTACTTGAAAATAATACGGATGAATCGCTCTATTCCTAGATGTCCAGATTGAGAGGGTTTTTTGGGTCATGATATTGTATCCTATTAATTTTATCTTTGAATGTATTCTCGCAAGCGTTATGTAATTTTTGTTGAAACATTGCTATGTGTTTCATTTCATGTGCTTTTATTGTAAAATGAATGTAATTCAGCCCTCGTGCTGCCGTTTCCAGTATGCTCAATAAACCATTCAGCTCACTTCAATAATAATAATAATAATAATAATCCGCCTTTATATAGCGCTTAATACAAATGTCTCTAAGCGCTTTAAAGGTATACTATTACACCGGTCATTGGATTTAATACTTGCCCGCACACACTGTGTACGCAATCTCCACTCCCTGGGGAGCATTCAATGAGTGACCTACGGCACCTCCACATAAAATACTATTAATGTAATTTATTTAAGATAAGTGCTTTTACCGCCTATCAAGAACTAAGAAAGTTAAAATTCATCTTCCCCCTTGTGTACCATGTCCCTTTTCGGACTTTGATATTCTTTGGTGTTAGACCTCCATCCTAACCACAATCACGATGACTATGATACAATTAAAAAACAATAAACAAAATCATGATGTCAAATGTATCATAATAATACTAATAGTTGGCTTTCAGAAGGAGAAAAAATGCAATATCTATTCTTGGAAGGAGTACACCGACATTTGAAAGGCACCCTGGGTATAATGACAAAAATGAAAATTAATAAAGTGAACGGAAATTCGAACCACTCTTTGAAAAAAAGAAAAAACAATACAAACCAAAAAGTGACAGCTCTAACAAAATTACCGGAACATAAAGGAATCTGATACGAGACGATTATATAACCCTCTCCCGAGGAGTCCTCAAAAAGAATAAAAAGGACAAGTTGTCGCTGTTTGAGTAGAGGATAGCGTGCATCATCTTCACCGAGTGCAATCTATCATCATTCTAACGAAAATTCTTCCACATCATCTGAAGGAATTCTGAATGGTAGAAAAGGAGAAATAATATGCAGTGAATGAAAAGAAATAAGACAATCTCCAAACGCTGTCTCGCCTGCGTCTCACGATGCGAATGATGCGAATGATGCGCAAGACACATAATTATGAAAAGTATCTCATTTCAAGCTCTCAGGAGTTCAGGATGTAAATTTTGGTTCTGACAGTTTCCGGTAATGGTACAGGGGCGGATCCAGGAATTTCTTCCCGGGGGGGGGGGCACACACGGGGGGCACACGGGGGGGGGGGGGTATTAAGAGGACAAATATTTTGTTTGAGGGGGTCCCAAAAAATCGCAACGACTCAGCCAGCCGCTGAATAGGCGGGGGGGGGGGGGGGGGTGGTAAGAGCACATTTTTTTTTTTTCTTTCTTTTTTTTCTCCCGAAAATTTGAAAATCGCACCGGCCGCAAATTCGCTCAGTGGGGGGGGGGGGGGGGGGGGGGGGGGGGGTGCGCATTAATTTTGTTTTTTTTCCCTGTAGTAATGTTTTATAGACTATCCCTGGAAAATGAGAGAACACTATTCAAGAATGCTGCTAATACGATCTAAAAACCTATGGTATACAAACAAAACCACAGACTAGAAAAAAAATTCAACTGCGCACGATTGAGAATTCTGCATCTGATTGAATGGGGGGGGGGGGGGGTGCGCATTAATTTTATTTTTTTTCCCTGTAGTAATGTTTTATAGACTATCCCTGGAAAATGAGAGAACACTATTCAAGAATGCTGCTAATACGATCTAAAAACCTATGGTATACAAACAAAACCACAGACTAGAAAAAAATTCAACTGCGCACGATTGAGAATTCTGCATCTGATTGAATATCTCTCAAGTAGAATGTTTCTCACATGACATAACTGTTGACCTGGCGATCCGAAATCATCATGAGATTGTGCGTTGTTCATAAGGTCTACTAAGGTTCATATCAAGTTTGATGAAATTGTAGTTGATCATCGTTGAGATATAAGATGGCCTTGAACCTTCGACCTCATCATCGAAGCTTTATTCAGTTGTTGCGTGTACAGTGCTTTTCATTGAAAATTGATTGAACTTTTGACCTTTAACCTCAGTCAAATTTGACCTATTTTCGAACTTGATCTGCCCCCCTTCAAGAGATGTACCTGGGGTTTGAATTTCGTGATCCTATACCTCGAAGCTATACAAATGTATTGCGAATACAGCATGATGTTTGACAACGACAACTACAACGACGCCGGATATAGTGACGCCTATGTCTCGCTCCGTTTCGCAGGCGAGACAAAATGACGCCGAGTGAGAACTGTTATAAGTATTTTCATGATTACAGGTAAAAGTGGACTACTGGTCATACGATTAGTAAAGGTTTTTTTTCTTTTTTTTTCTCATGTTTATTCGCCTGTACTTGTACTTGGAACTGGTGGGGGGGGGGGGGACGTACAAAATATAATCACCAGCTCCATATTACTCTCTTAAGTTGACCTCATACAATCTTATTACAATGTAGGCAATTTTTTTTTTAAACGATTAGTAAAGGTGGAAAAATGTTTTTCGACCAATCATGGAAGTTTCATATATACTAACAGCTGGCTGTGAGGTTTTGAAATTGGGGAAAGGGACGACAAAAGAAGATTCCTGGACCCCCTCCCATATCCTTCCTCTGATAGGAACCCTTTAAAATCTTTTTTATTTTATTTTACGAGTAAGATCGGTGCCACTTCCATATCATTCCAGTTCCCTTTCAATTGGTTGATTACACTTTGCCACTGACATCCATTCAATGCACTCACCGTCAAAGTCGACTTTACCGTCATTATTAAAGTCGGCTTTCTTGATCATTGCATCGATATCCTCCTCCGTCATCGGTGGATCAATGGTTAACATTGCTTGACGCAGCTCATCAGCACAGCAAGCAAATAATTAAGAAATAACAATTATTTGAATTCACGTTCTACAAATTTGGATTATTCCATTGAAGTCATTGATTAAATTATCATCGAATACTCTTTCATAATGTAATGAATAATGATCCAGTATTGAGGTGCTCAATTTGATCTCGACTATACCATACCGAAAATAAAATTGTGGTAAAATATTGATCTACTCTTGTAAAAGCATAACCAGCACGATAATTTCCGAGGGATGGGGATGATAATTATTGATTATTCCAATGCGCGGGCCGTGCGTCGTCTATGTGTGACCATCTTTGTTGAGAACGCGGTACATGCGTGGACCATTCGTCTATATGGAAGCAGGAGACCGTCAAAAACATGGATATACGTCGTGTCGTAATTCGAATTGCCACACTACCTAAATAATTACGTCGTGTAGTAATTCGAATTGCCACACTACCTAAATAATTACGTCGTGTCGTAATTCGAATTACTACACGACGTAATTATTTAGGTAGTGTGGCAATTCGAATTACGACACGACGTATATCCATGTTTTTGACGGTCTCCTGCTTCCATATCGTCCAGCGCGCTAGCAACACGCTGTGCATTCGTGGAAGTTGTTAGCATGTGCGCTCTGTATGCGCCCTGTCTGCGCTCAGCGCGCTAGCAACACGCTATGCATTTGGTGTCAGCTCGCTGTATAGCTTCGACAAAAGTTGGGCGCACGACAACGCACTGGCCAAAATTTCCAATGCGCTGGCCGTGCGTTCCCCATGCGTCCCTTCTGTGTGACCGGGCCTTTAGCAAGAAATAATGATTATTGTCCACATTTCTCTAACAGCGGAAACTTGGACGGACAATCCATTGGATTTTTTGTTCTTCTTCAAATTTACCCGATAAGTCTATTGACACCCTCATAAAAGACTGGGCAAGCATCCCGGGGGTCTCAGTCAAATATAAATACTGTAAGCATGCGTGACCAAGAAAACGCGTGTAAAGGGATGCTTTTTTTTAGATTGGATGCGGTCCGCGCGGTTCCGCATTAAGGGGTTAAAATACGTCCATTTTCGGCCATTTTCAAGAAAAAGGGTAGTTTTTTTTTTAATGGTTCAAAATCCCTCTGTTCGACCCGGTTAACGCGTCAAGGGGTATTTGTTGAGCCCTCAGGGCCAGACCGACCAGGGAAAACAATAAAAGGGGTAATAATGCCCAATGGCGAGTCTATACAGGCCGCCGCCTGCGCTTGCCGGTCTTTAGATCTTCAGTAGATCAAGATGGATGGCCACGATACCGACCCAGACCTACCAAGTCTCACGCCTATAGCTGGTCTCTTAAATTTTGTTTTGCATAGTAGAATAGTAACTGCTGTACATTGTACATTGTATACTATTTGTAAACACTACATAACAATAGATCAAATGTGAAATGTAATTCCTTTTTCAAAGAAAGGACAAATAGTTGCATGTGCAAAAAGCCCATTTGGAAGGTTACAGGTTGATGTTATTGTTTCTCTATTGACAACAATTTTACCTTGTGAATTTTACATCAGAACAGCAATTTTATTAATTTTACACTGCCAAGATCTTGAAAGGTAATCCCTATCGCACTGAAAATGATCAAGGGACTACAATAATCATTTTACAATACTTGTTTAGGTTACACTTCTTTGAAATACCCGTTTAGGATGTGAATTCTTGAGAAAGAAAAAAAACGTGAAATCGTCATTTAGGGTGTAGTTTTGGCTTCAGAAAAAAATCATCGTTTAGGGGGTGTCTGGAATACCTGTGGCCACGCATGCTTACAATATTTCTGCATGAATGAGACCCCGGGGCAAGCATCCCTTCTTACCCCTTCACTCCTTACTACCCTATCACTGTTCAACTATACCCTATTACTGTCTACTACCCTATCACTGTCCAACTACCCTATCACTATCCAACTACCCTATCACTATTCAACCACCCTATCACACTGTCCAACTACCCTATCACTATCCAACTACCCTATCACTATCCAACTACCCTATCACTATCCAACCACCCTATCACTGTCCAACTACCCTATCACTGTCCAACTACCCTATCACTATTCAACCACCCTATCACACTGTCCAACTACCCTATCACTATCCAACTACCCTATCACTATCCAACTACCCTATCACTGTCCAACTATCATATCACTGTCCAACTACCCTATCACTGTCCAACTACCCTATCACTGTCCAACTATCATATCACTGTTCAACTACCCTATCACTATCCAACTACCCTATCACTGTCCAACTATCATATCACTGTCCAACTACCCTATCACTGTTCAACTCCCCTATCACTATCCAACTACCCTATCACTATCCAATTACCCTATCACTGTCCAACTATCATATCACTGTCCAACTACCCTATCACTGTTCAACTACCCTATCACTATCCAACTACCCTATCACTATCCAACTACCCTATCACTATCCAACTACCCTATCACTATCCAACTACCCTATCACTGTCCAACTACCCTATCACTGTTCAACTACCCTATCACTATCCAACTACCCTATCACTATCCAATTACCCTATCACTGTCCAACTATCATATCACTGTTCAACTACCCTATCACTATCCAACTACCCTATCACTACCGGTATTCAACTACCCTATCACTGTCCAACTACCCTATCACTGTCCAACTACCCTATCACTGTTCAACTACCCTATCACTATCCAACTACCCTATCACTATTCAACTACCCTATCACTATAACTACCATATCACTGTCAGAGAGCAATCTCTGAGCTTTTTGCGTTTAAAAAATGAAAATGATTCGAGTGTTAATGAATTGTGTACAGTAAGAACAGTAATGAACAATACAAGTATTGAAACAAAAACACGAGGGTTCCAGTTTAAACTTCTGCCTAATATTCTTTTCTTTGTTATTAAAGGCTTTTCAAAATGCAAACAAAGCCTTCTCCATAATACGTTCGTTTTGCTGCAAAAGTTCAGAAACTTTAGAACATGCAAAATGGCAATGTAGGTATTACAGACCTTTTTTTAATTAAACCAACGTTTTGTTTTCTATGTTTGTCTAATCTTTTCTGGATGAAAAAAACACATTCATCATATTATATTTAGAAAAGCACCCACAAAGTATAATAATTAATCACATTTCAATAATAGCAAAACGAAGTATTGAAATACAAGCCAAGCATTGATTGTCTTAAAATGATGCTTTTTAATTCGTATAAAGAAGAACAATGTATTCAAATCGAAAAGGCAAGCTCTCATTTCACCATAGAAAATAGAATTGTGTACTACCACTTTAAAAAGAAATTACTTTCACCTTTCACTGTAATTATTGTTGACCTGATGACCTCTTGTTTATACTTCATACACAGACGTTCAAGCAAGTTATTGATTTATACATATATATTGACCCCCCAATTGACTTTTTAAATCACAGAATTCATTGTTACAATGTTAAACTTCTTTTACGGATTTTTGCAACCCATGTTTAATAACATGTTTTATGCTTCAATTCATAGATTATTAAATTTCAATTTACGTGTTGTGGTCAGTTTCATCATCTCTTTCGTTGTCATTTCATAAGTCTTCACCGTGAACTCACCAGAACACTTTACAAACTCATCCTCAGTAACGTCATGACCCATTGATTTCATCGCAGCATCCAAATCCCTAGTAGTGAGGATGGCATCGCTTCTCGTGTCAAAGAACTCAAATTTTTCCTTGTATTCTAGAAAAGAGGTAATTAAAAAAAATTAAAAAATTGGAGATATGGTGTCAGTAAGAGAGGGGAGGAAAGAAGCAGGAGATGTTTGTAGGAAACATCGAGTAATGTACACACATATATAATATATATTATATATAAACTAGCAAAGGACTGGCAATTGTTAATAAAAGCAAAGTCGTTCCTCTTGAAAGCAAATACTTCTACATGACTAGAAATATTATTGGATTGAATAAGAATTTGTTTTTTCATCATTAGCGTTATTTTGCTTGATTTCTTCAATATTGCAATCTTCAAATTGCAAGCAGACGTGATGTCTCAGTGGTAGAGCAGTGGTCTCGTAACCGGGATGTCCCGTGATCGAAACCAAGGAAACCAAGTCTATGCGCTAGTGCCTTTTAGTAAGGCATTAATCCTCATTACCAAGTCCCTCGGAGAGAATTGAAAGCCGTCGGTCCCCTGGTAGCTTACATACAAGCACACACATGCTTTCTTAGCAGTCAAATATTACAAACAAACTAACCAACCAACCGATATCCTCTTATGTTAACGAGAATTGTTTTTATCCTAGAAGACCAGCTGTTATTATACATCTTTAATGATCTTACTTTATTTTGATTCTCTTCGGGAGCTAACATTTTACTGCAATACTAATATCATGTTTAACATTGTTTTATAATACCCTCTTGTTACAACTTTGGTCTCCCACTTTAAAAATTGAAGCATTCGGACTCGTTGTTTTTCGTACCTGCTTTCTCCTCTTCGGTTAAAAGTAATTGGGCTGCCCGTAATGAAAAGGAAAAAAAACAAAATTAAAAGAACATTGTTAGCAATGAGGAATCCAGATAGTGAAATGTCGTATTTACTTCAGTGACTTATCATAAACCAACAAAAAGGGGCACTTTCTAAAGAAAAAAGGAAGGGTCACTTATAACCTCAAAGCGAAAATATACCTATTATACACATGGATAGGCCCTTTAATATACCCCCTACATTGTGATTAGATTATCAGGGATGATTTTATTGTTTGTTTTTCTCTTTGCATGGTCCAAGATACTGCTTAAGCATCACACTTTGCAGTGCGATGTTCTCAATATTTAATTGCGAGCGAGCGAAGAGAGCGAGCAACAACAAAAAAAATATTTGCGAGGTCGTAGTGCGAAAAATTACATTTTATAAAGAGGTAAAAAAAATCCTAATCATGAAAGACTAAAAATGTTTTTAATAAGAAACAACATTTATTGAAATAAAATGCGAGCAAGCATAGTGAGCGAGCTTTGGGTGAACTTGAAG